GTAACACTGCTTTGAGTGGATAAAGACTGGTGATGTAATGCTGTAATTCAGGTTTTGCAGCTTGTGTCTAATCTGTTGTATTTTAATAATAAGGTGCATCTGTGGTGAAGGCGCATGCTAAGAAAGAAAACTATATCCGAGGGAGGTGGTCTCTAGGGCAAATCTGTCACACTCTACAGGTACCGATACTTAATTTACTGCTAATTTGTTAAGACTGCTAGATGACAGCATTGTGTAATTAAAACAAAACGCAAAGGTGATATTCTAAATTTGTTTTCATTTTCTGTATATGAAGGACTTCTACAGCCACAGTAACTGGGTGGAGCTGGGAAATAAAGCTCCATACAGTGCTCTGATCAGACCTGACCAACCTCTTAAGAACTTGGCAGGTAGGCGCCCTCCTGAAAGATGAAAATTCCAGCTTAAATATGATCTAGATTAAATTTGTAGTAGTATTTGTAATGTTTATTTTCAAAATATAAATCAATATTTTTTTCTTTGTTATTTGATATTTCTGCAGGACAAAATACTCCAACTTGCAGAAGTTGCGTAGGAGAGAACTGTACCAACAACATTCTGCCTGATGTGCTGAACCAGGGACTTCTGACATCAGGCTACTTTAGCATCATCTCCTCATCAAAACCTACAGGTAACTTGGAGCAATCATCTCTTTTGATGTGTTATGATAAAGTCTTTGTATGTTTTCAATATCTCTTGATAATATGATAAAATGTTATCCCTGTTCAAAGGTAAATGCAGTCACGGTGGATCTGCTGATCGCACAAGCAGGAGGGATCCAGTGGGCGGGATCAATAAGGATACACTTGATTCCAGTCATGGCTTCCGTCACAATGAAGCAGCTAATCTGGCTATTCGTGCCACCATGGAGCTTCTGGAGGACATCAGATTAGTGGCTGGAGACACAAACTTCATGAGGTAAAGCTAGCTCTCAAGTGTCACACAAGAGGAAACAAATGTGGGGAGAATGGAGCTGCAGCACATGCTCGTGGCTCAAGAGTTGGGTGTTCGTCTTGTAATTGGAAGGTTGTAGGTTCGAGCCCCGACTCGGACAGTCTCGGTCGTTGTGTCCTTGGGAAAGGCACTATGCCTGCTGGTGGGGACGATGGCACGATATGGCAGCCTCGCCTCTGTCAGTCTGCCCCAGGGCAGCTGTGGCTACAACTGTAGTTTGCCTCCACCAGTGTATAAATGTGAGAGTGAATGAATATTGGTGTTGTAAAGCGCTTTGAAGGGTCCCGAAAAGCGCTATATAAATGCAATCCATTATTATTATAAAAAATAAACACGAAAGCATGCCCGTGCTAATCGTTTTTAGATTAGATTTACATTGGGGGGGACAATATTTTTAGTTTGTCTGAGGTATTTCTGTGCATGGAGCTATATTTTTCCGTTTCTGTTTCAGTTTCTAGTGGCCTTTTTATAAGCTTCATCTTAGCTGACAGAGAAGTGTCAGACGCTGTTGTCTTCTGTTGCTGTAGATAGCCTACTTCAAGGTTAAAGGTGTTGTGCATTCAGAGATGGTCTTCTACATAGTGAGTGGTTATTTCTTTCTTATTCACCTAAAGCACTCTGGCCACTGGTGTCTTGTAACGTCTGACATCAACAAGACATTTTCACCCAGAGAACTGCAGCTCACTGGATATTACCATCTCCGTAAACACTGGAGATGG